CAACCTTCTTTCCTTTCACATCCCTTCACCTTTGTCTAGTGTTTCAACAGTCCAGCTGAAGCCAGCTAAAAAAGTGGGCTTGAGCCAAGCTGTGACAAGCCAAGCCATTTATGTGGCTTGTGTCATGACCTGACCTAAAAAAGCAATTCTGCCTATCCTAGGCAACCTGTTGGGGAGTGACAATGACTGTGTGCAAGAACCTGACCCTCTAAGCCTCTAGAATACTGCAAATAGTTGAAATAAGACTATCTCTGACTGCAAATAGTGCAAATAATGATAGCCACAGCTACAAGAAACCAACCTAGTGTTGTGTGACTCAGACTACAAGCCTATAAGTAGTGTTGCACGTGACTTGACTTGACTCTGGCTAGTCGACAAGTCGAGTTTTTAGTCGAGCTGAGTCGGACCAATGACTTGTGACTCCGGCAACTTTAAAGTCATTTGAGCGAAATTGAGTCATCAGCTGGTTAATTACCCTTTTTTGGTAATTGAGATGTAGTACGCAGCTGAATTACCAGTTTTGGTAACAGTTACTCATCTTGGAAGTATTCAGTTCTATTCAATAATATATATAAATCAACTACATTGGCGACTCGGCTGACTCAACTGACTTGAGTCGACTCTGGAGTGGAGTCACCAGATTTGGAGCCAGAGTTGACTGGAGTCGAGCCAGAGTGAGTCATAGCCAAGTCTCGGCAACACTACCTATAAGACTATAAGAATGACACTTGTATGGAAACCAGGGAGAAAGACATTATAGACAGCCTACTGGGCTGAGTTGGCAATGAGAGTGATGCAAACAAGCATATCGTCACCTACCAGGAAAGTAGGATCAAGACTGGTGAGTATGACATTACCCCCCCTCTAGGAATTATTTGTCCTCAAATAATGCAATTTGGAATGGATACCCATTGTTAAGTCCGGGCAAAAACTGGATCCGGATGGATCCGGAACTTGGGCGGAGGTCTTAGGAAACGATAAGGACGGATCCAGAAGGATCCGGAGTGAAGTCTAAATTAGACTGAGACGGAACTCAGTGTAACTTCGACGTTGAAGCGCGTAGATGTGAGGAGAGAATCGGAACAGAGATTAAGAGACCAGCTAAATCAATTTTAGACTTAAGCTACATACAACATTGTACAGAGCTTAAATACTATGGACGCGGTTGAGTATATACAAATCTCGTACTCTTCTGGAGCCGACTTTCTGGTTAAAACAAGCTTTTAAACAACAAAGGTGTGCCTTGTATGATACCAGAGATCTCCTGAATCAGCTGTCCTAAGTGCAAGCAAGAACGGTACTACAGTCACTGGAGTACTTGGGCTGTATCTACTGGTCTTTTATATGTACAGAGAAAAATGAAAAATAAAGAAACTATTTTATCTAGGAGATCTACAGTCCTCCTACTATATATGGTATGTAGAAATAAGCTTTCGTAATTTATGTGTGTCACAGTCCGTATTTGGAAACTTTGTTACTTATTTTGTCTTGCTAAATTTAATTCTTTTAAGTCTGTACTTGTTTGTTCGAATCCAGACTTACGTGTACTGGCAGACAAGAAATCCATATTACACAAGTCCTGACTCGACTTTTCTAATTTCTGGACTCCCATTGGTCAGGTGTTATATTCTGTCATGCCGGAGGCCTACATAGGTCTATGGATAAACTAGCAGTGTGCACGTCTCATCGGCATACCCCTATTTCTAGTCATAGCGAGTCAACGGTCTATTGGACCCCTATCTTTTATCCTGATTAAATCAAATAAGTGGAACTGTTTCTAGAAACAGCACTCCACCTCAGCTCCCAACTCTGGATCTATCCTCTTGCAAGGCACGCGATCTCGCAACCGATCATCACTCTAGATTCTAATTAGATTTAGAATTTAGACTTGACTCTAGTCTGGACTCTGTCACAAAGAGTGAGGACTGGTCTCAACAGACAAAGAGGTCAAGATTAGGTTTAGCTACAGACAACAGATAACACACCTGGTTCCAACAGACAAAGAGGTCAAGATGGGGAACCAGGTGTTGACAGGACTAGTTATATACAATAAGGCTACAAGTTCAGGAATCAAGTGAGGCAGTGTGGCTGATGGAATCATAGAACAAAGAAGTGAAACAAGGTAACAACGGAATCACAGAACAACAAGGCAGTGACAGGCATCAGGAATGGAAGATCAAATGAAGTGTCATAGCAAGGAATTCTCCCGAGCTAAGGGATCTGATGGAATGAAATGCAAGACTGTGAATATGAAGAAATGGCAACATGTAAGAATGGAAATAAGTGCACAAAAGGAAATAAAGGCCCCTAAGACCACTGTTCATGACAGACTCAAAGATAATTTAGTCTGGAGTTAATTCTATTCCCTTTGGATCAGGAAGAGGACTGTTCTGTTTTACTTGGCAAGGTCCAAGCTGAAATGCTTCGCATAGACCCTCATAACTAGACAGATCAATTTATCTACCAGAGTTATGTAGTCACTTCTATCATCTCTGGATACGATTTTCCTTGTGGAACAAGTCTGGACTCAATATGTATTGTCTTAATACAATTATTCCTTTTGACTATCAGTCAGGGACTCACTATAGTCCTCTGTTTCCTTTTATATTAATACTATAGACATTCAGGATTTAATAATAAATCACGAAAAATCTATGGTATTGATTTTCTAGCGTATTAATGGAAAGTTTGGGTAGAGGCTGGCAGAAGAATACCATGGGTTCAGGCTCGAAAGGAGGAAACTCATGATCATTGGAATCCCAAAGTTCAGATTGGAGAAAAGAATTTGCGAGTTGTGCAACAACTGGTTCTGTATAACAGACAAAACAGACCAGTCAGTCATCACAATAAACCTCAGCAGCATGGTTTTGATGAAGGTCATATACTATGTTCAAGAAATAGGCCTGAAGTCCATGGTCAAGTCGGGGACAAAGGAAACAGGGTTCAAAGACACATGAAAGTGTTAACCTAACGTAACAGACTGTGACTACCCTCTATCAACTCCTCATTTATCAACTCCTCATTTGTCATTTGATTGAAGGAGTTCTGCCCGTGGGTCAACAAGGCTTGATACACATAGTCGAATCGTTGAAATGTGCCTCTCAACTGACTGTTGAACGCAGAGACAAAATTGCACTCATGTTCGGTTAGACCCGCAATTTGATGTATGCGCATTCGGAATCGCATGTTGGCAAGGGCAAAGTAGTGGCAAAACTCGGCGGATTCTTGGATCTGGGTACGAGGATGGGGTGAGGGATTAGAAGGCAAGGAGATGTTGAGACACGTAAGGTCTATGGCCACAAGTTGATAAGCGTTGTGGAAGAATGCAAGTATCTCAGCACATTCATGTTGCTGAGTCTCCGTGATCAGTGGAGGAGGAACTTGGGAGCTTGAGCTGTTGGATGGGTTGGCCATTGAAGATGAGAGTCGATGTTGAAAAGAGAGTTTGGAGTGGCACCGATCAATGAATAACTTTATATTGGAATTTCTGCCAAGAATTTTCGATCAATTTACGGCATTAATTTTGGTTAAAGTTTGCGAATCTGGAGATTTAATGATTCTCCATTGCAAATCACATTATTCGAGGACGAATAAATCCTAGAGGGGGGGTAATGTCATGAACTCACCGGTCCATCACCCTGCCACCATATCAGAAGCCACATCGCCTAACCGGGACATCTTATTTCCTATTCTGAAGTGTGATTAGGCCTGAGATCATTACTAATTGCACTTCTGAACACGACATACAACATGTTAGGGGCTATTCTCTCATATGGCACTGAGACAGGACTGATTGCAGGGGTTGCAGGTGACATAGGGATAATCAGATATTATAGGTAGCGGAGAGGAGGAGGCATTATGGCTGTTAGGAGTATACTCCTTTACTTTACAGTATATATACCTTGTATAAGTATCAGTACTAGTTAGAATCCAATCTTAGTTGTCATAGGGCATATTGTTCTATTGATCCTACTTTCCTGGTAGGCAACGACTTGCTTATTCGCATCACTCTAGTTGTCGACTCAGCTCCTAAGGCTGTCTATATTGCTATTCTCCCTGGTCCCCATACTAGTGTCATTCTTCTAGCCTTCTAGGCTTGTAGTCTGAGTCGCCAACACTAGGTTCCTGGTTTCTTGTAGCTGTGGCTATCGTTATTCGCACAAATCACAGTCAGATATAGGCTTGTATCGACTAATTGCAGTATTCTTGAGGCTTAGAGGGTCAGGTTCTATCGCATGATCACTGTCACTCCCCAACAGGTTGCCTAGAATAGGCAGGGGTGCATTGCTTTTAGGTCAGGTCGTGAAATAACCCCTCACCCCATCCTCATAGCAACTTTTGTGAGTTGGAGGAGTTCTGCTATTATTCTGCTGTGGCAAACATGCAATCTCGTATGTGAGTACACCAATCATCAGGAAAAGCCCCTTAAATCAAAGACTTCCAATGGATAAGTGCCATTATCCATAGGCAACCATGGTCCATTTATGTTTGTGGATGTAATTTCAGCCATGGTTGTCAATAAACTTTTGCTAGTTTTGAGAATATCTCAACTTATGTCATATTGAAGTTGATAAACAATTTGAGTTATCCAAAACATGTTTAAAGTTGTCAAAATGAAGTTTGTAAACAATGACGTTTATCCAATACATGTTTGTTGATTGTCCAAAACATGTCAAAAGTTGTCAATTAACAATCTGATTATTAACTAAACCTCAAAAGCTGTCTATTTGTTAGTAATCATGTCCCAAGACCAAATCTTGTGTGAGCAAGCAATTTGTTATCAGATAATTCATCAAATGAACATAAATTGCATTCTTTGACTGCATCGTACTACTATACCCAAGATCGTAGCCAGTTGCAGCGGTTACCAGACAAATGAAGTATCAAATGAAAGTAGAGAATCACATTCAATTTCAAAAAGACCCTTCAACAGAACCTGATTTGGTCATTGACAGTGGGAATGACTTACATATTACCTTATACCTAACTAGATTATAAATTTAAGCTTAGTGTAGTGGTTATTATGGCTGGGTCACCATACGGTTCTGTCCCAGCAGATCTTGGTTCAATTCCAGGAGCTCTCATTCTTATTGAACCATAGAATTTTTTTGTTCCTCTGTAAAGTTCAGCCTAAGTTCAACCTTAATTCTACTATACCAGTAGTACAAGATTCAGCTCAAGTTTGAGTCTATTTCAACTGGGGCATTTTGGCCTTATGACTCTACTTTAATCCATTGACTGAGGCTACTGTATACTACAAGATTTAGCTCAAGTAACACTTCAGGCACCCCCCTAGAGGACCTAGTTAGGTGGAATGGTCCCTGTCCCAAGATCCACCCTAGAGGTCATAAGGGCCTGGACCTTCCCCCTTCTAAGTTCTATCAGGCCCATGGGGGACTTCCCCCGTCACCTGGGGAGCTCAGTGGGACTTTCCTCTCCTGTGCTTGGGGGGAAGTTTCAGGACCTGCTTTGAGAGCATGGGGAATTCCCCAGGATGACACATGTCACACTTTAGATTGGATACAAAAGACTCTAGTAGCTTACTTTACATAACAATATACCAGAAGAACCTGTTATTAAAGGGTTTGTAAAGGCTTGATTCAGATCAGAGTTTCTGCTATCCTATAAGTACATACAATACTAAGGTACTGACACATGTCACACTTCTTTCTTCAGCATATCAACTGCCCTTTCTATGTCTTATTCAGTATTCAGTATAGTGGCAGATGAAAATTAATCTTAAAGTATGTACAGACCATACACTTACAGACTCATTAATCTTCAACCATGGTCCAATGTATCTAGGTATTGTAAGCCACTTGTGAACCTGGGAAATTACCATATAAACTTCCATGGTGTTTTATTCCACTCTGGCTATGTACTAGTACTAGTGTATATGTCTATTGCATTATACAAAAAATTGTATTTGTATTTGGTTTTGGTTTTTTCTTCTTCTCAGAATGATTTTTCAACATGTTTTACTGTCTATATGTACCATTCCAAGGAATATCAGTATTCCCAACATTGACAGAAATCACACCATGGGCATTTTGCATGTCCATTGATGATGGGAATCTGTATTAATACTCAACAAGATGTATGTTACTGAGCAACATGCTATGTATAGCTCATGGTGGTAAGGTCAGGGAGCTCCTGAGTCCTCATCCAAGTCAATCATATTCCAATGCAGCAGGACTTGAGTGATAACCAGTAAGGCTTGAGTAGATGTCTCTTGCAAAGAGTAAGAGCAGTTGAAAGGCAGTATATAATTTTTGACCAATAGGAATTGGCCAATAGGTCATTCTGACATGGCGACAATGTTACTAACAGCTGACTCTTTCTCTCTTTTGCATATATTCTCCACCTACACTATATGTCACAAACCGTATCAATCCTTTTCCCTCCATTGAGACCCCAGACACAGTATTACTTTACCATTGCACCATCATCACAAAAGCCTGGAGTCAAGGCTGTCCAGCTCAGACAATAGAAGCAGAAGTCACCTCAGTCACCACATCTGCTTCTCCCATCAGTTATCTTGTTCTTTCCTTTGTTCCCTTCCATCAGATGACCCACAGCTTTATCCATAAATACTTTGTCTCCATGATACCTTATCTTCCATATCCTTTGTTCTCTACAGTATAAGTACTCATAGACATTGTAGGTAGTTCCCCAGTCTGTTCACTTCATCTCTACACCCTATGATCAGCTACACTGTATCAAGCCTAGTCAGCATACTCAACTACTTTTTCCTCTATCTTAATCTATTCTTTCTTCCTCTTGTCTTTGTCTTGTGTGACTTGAGTGGTCTCGTCATTGAGAGTAATTGTTCCCAACACTATATTTAGAATTGGCTCACTAATTCTCTAGTGTTCCTTTACATTTAAAATAAACATCAATCTAGGTGATATGAGGTCCAAAAATTTTGACAGTCTCAAATTTTTAGTGACCTTGAATACTCAACCAACTGACTGCCAGAGTGTGCTGGTCTGTAATGCTGGACCACCTAGTGTTGCACGTGACTCGACTCCACTCTGACTAGTTGAGGAGTCGAGCCGATATTTGAGTGAGCCGAGTCGAGCTATTGACTCGTGACTCCAGTGACTCTACTGTCACTCGACTCCAGCTCGAGTCAACCTGAGCCGCCAACCTCTATCGATTCATTTTCGGCTATTATTTATAGTGAGGGGCCCCCAACTCGAGCTGTCGGCCTTAATTACCTTGCCGTTTATTCATTTCTCGGTTATTTTGTCTTACTAATAAATCCACTCTTAGAATTATTAATGTAAGCGAGTGACTCGAGCGACTCGAGTGGGAGCGAGTCGAGAAATAAAGACTCGACTCCGGAGTCACCGGCATTTCAAGTCATAGTCACCCGGAGTCGAGCCGGAGTGAGCCGAAGCAGAGTTTTGACATCACTAGGACCACCCTTGCCAAAACATGTTTAAAGTTGTCAAAATCAAGTCATTAAGCAGTGACACCTATCCTAAACATGTTTAAAGTTGTTTGTTGATTGTCCAAAAAATACCAAAAAGTTGTCAGTTGACAATCTGATCACCTACTTATGACCACACTGGCAAAAAGTGATGGTCCCCTATTTTTCTACTGTATCTAGGGATTGAGTACATATTTCTGCTTTAAAAAAGTTTTAGAATCAATCTATAGATTGATTCTGAGTTTGTGATGCCCAAAATGAGACTCTCTGCAGTGACTCCTTCCATAATAGGCAATTTCCAAAAATGCGGTTTTTCCAAGTAAACAACCAATTTTTTCCAGGAAAATCTGTTAGCTCCATCTGAAAGGGAAGCATTGAAAATGGGGGGTAGGAGCTTACCCCTTGTCAATAGCATTTCTTTGAGAAAGAAACTGGCTAAAAAAACCCTACCTCCAGATCATGTGGTAAGCATTGTCTCCAATTTTCTCTGCCCTCTGTTTCATAAAATGTATACTTACAAGACAAAAAAGGAATTAGATGTCATGAACAGTGGTCTTAGGGGCCTTTATTTCCATTTGTGCACTTATTTCCATTCCTACATGTTTCCATTTCTTCATATTCACAGCCTTGCATTTCATTTCATCAAATCCCTTAGCTCAGGACAATTCCTTGCCATGACACTTCATTTGATCTACCATTTCTGATGCCTGTCACTGCTTGTTGTTCTGTGATTCCATTGTTACCTCATTTCACTGCCTTGTTGTTCTTTGATTGTTACCTTTTTTCACTTCTTTGTTTTATGATTCCATCAGCCACACTGCCTCACTTGATTCCTGAACTTGTAGCCTTATTGTACATAACTAGTCCTATCAACACCTGGTTCCCCATCTTGATCTCTTTGTCTGTTTGGGACCAGATGTGTTATCAGTTGTCTGTAGCTAAACCTAATCTTGACTTCTTTGTCTGTTGGGACCAGGGACCAATCTTTGTGACATTAGGTACTTTTGGTTATCCATAAGTACTTTTAAATAATAGACTGTATATGGTATATGTAAGGGGAAAAATGGCTGTTTTTTGACCTTAGAAAAGCTTCCTTTTTTTAAAAAAGGTCCAGCCCCACCTGGCTACCACATCAAATGTTGAACTCTCCTCAGTTTTATGTTAAAGAGGAGAGGTAAAGTTTAAACAGTGCCGAAGAGTGTATCTCACAAAACTGGTATTGTGTACCATTTTGTTCAATTCAGCAGTCACAGGTCACATCCTCAAAAATTGTCTGAATGGTCACAGAAGTCACAGCAAAAATCCAGCCCTGCAGAGAATTTTTTGCTGGGACTGTAAAAATTTTCCGCAATCAGCAGCCAAAAATGGCAATTCTGCTCCGACATACCGAAATTTCTGAGGAGATCATGTTCCCAAAACGTGGATGGTCGGACTGCCGAAGCAACTGGACCTGTCATATGTCACACCCCCTGCCAAATTGAACAAAATGATACAGTAAGAGACTTGCATCATACTGTAACACTGTCATGAGCTGCGTTTTACTGTAAGTGATGCTAGTATAAGGAGTACTTATATTCTGAAAAAGCGAGCTATACTCACAAATTGTTGTACTTAGTTGTTGAGCAATTGAATGCATCATTCACTACTCGACAAGACTCAATAAAATACTTGTGAGCTCGTTCAGGCCGTATAATGTATTCCTGGGCAGCTGCATAATGGCATGTCATAAGCATTACCTTGTTCGGCATTGCCGACTAGGACCGGACTCACGGCCGGAGGGCTTGAGGGTTGCGAATAATCCCAGGTAAAGGCTTCGTAACCAGCCGGTTAGCCAGGATCAGGCCCATTTGGTATACTTATCACAATCTCACTCGGAGTCACATTTTTAACATCATTCCCATTCTCACGTGAAAGCGATGGCATCATATAAGCTTTACACAGCCTTGCCAGCAGACTACAACGTGTCTTTGCATACACCACCTTGGGTCTTTTCTTCGAGTTCTCCTGCTCAAATGGCAGCATCAAATGTTACCTTTCTCCATGGAGCACAGCACACGACCCTTAACCAACCCATCATGACCGCAGTTCATGGAGATCAAAATACCTATAATTACTGCGTCCCATTAAACAGCAAAGAAACTGGTATATCTCAGTCTTATCCCAACAATATTGGATCTTATTGTTATATTGTAGGTCTTCAGCACTTGTTCCAAACCATTGGCAAAGTTGATGCTTTGCACACCTCCCAAGCACGCTTTCCACCTCCCAAATGTCATGATCAAACCAGGACAGTCATTTTGGGTCAATTATCAAATTGGATCAAGGGTCATTCGCTCAGATCTTCTTGGAGAACTACAGACTTTATGGGACGTCTCCGTAGAAAAACAAAAATCACCAATCCTTCTGCCGCATTCCCTGATCTCATAGACGACTGTATTGCCCATAATGCACTTTCTCATTCAGCTCCCATACATTGGCTTTATGGTCCTGCGGGTGTTGGAAAATCTGCAATCGCTCAAACCATATGTGAAAACTCTGATGGTTTCCGCGGAAAAAAACACTTAGCAGCCAGTTTCTTCTTTTCACGCTCCTCTCCCACCCGAAATCATCCAAAATATCTGATTCTCACCATTGCATACTGCCTGGCAA